TTTCACCTATATGCTTATTGCTGCTGAATCAGCAATGGTTTGGCGCAATAGAAAAGCAAAGTTAATTGGTGAATCTGCCTTCAAGACCTCTATGGATATAGACAATGGCAATGAAAGACATGCAATGATCAAAAAGTTTGATCACAAGAGAAAGGCGATGTCTAAATTAGTTCCATGTGTTGTTCCAAAAGAGTCAATTTGCTTTTATTGCCAAGAGAAGGGGCATTGGAGACGAAGTTGCCCTATTTACCTAAGAAATCTAAGAGATGGGAGAGTCAAAAGTATGACTACACTTCAGGTAAAATCCACTATCTAACTCCGTTAAGTTCCTATTCATTGATACATGATGTGATAAGATTGCATTTGAATGTTTTGAAGGATCGGTGAAAAGAAAGGAAGCTTGATAAGAGAGAAAGATGAATCTAATCACAAGACATGGATCTTGATCGCGTGGACTTGAAGATTGGATTTTGAGCTTAGATAGTTATGATAGAGTTGTTAGAAATTTTCCTTTTACATAGTTTTCAATAGATTTTGCATTGTAAGGACAAATGTTTTTCCGCTGCTTTTATAAATAAAATAAATTTTGTTTGACTTATTTATTTATTTAGTTATTTCCTTGCGATGAAATCGTTATGAAAATTGATGTTTGCATATTTCTACAACGAATGGATATGATTCTTAGTTATGTTATTTATGGAAATGTCGAGTATTTACCAAATAGGGAGAGTTTCTCATCACCCAAATTTCAATTGGACTGAAATTTGGAATCACGCAACTTGGTTGCATAATGAATGAGAAATTTCATATTTGGAAATTAGACAAATTCGTTGACAAAGTGTCAAGTGAAGGACTTGGAGATCGAGTACACAAAGTTGTGTGTTGATCAAGTTCACCATAAGAAGTAACAAAGATATTCGTCATGATTTACTAAAGGCTTAGTAAATATGATTATGCTTATAAGATTAAGTGTAATTCTGAATTGATTGAAAATGTTTAGACCAATAGTAGAACGAATAAGAAGAATCAAGTAGGCAGAAAAATAAAAGTTTCTCCATTCTAAGAAGAAGGGAGAGTAGCTTTTATGCTTTATGAAGATCTTAATGATTAAGAACCATATCTCAATTGATCCTTTAAGTGAGTCTTAGTACAATTGTATGTTTGAGAAGAGGAATCAAGAATTGAAGAAATGGTTAAATAAAGAAGTCTATCATACTTCGTTCCAATAACAAGTCTTAAAGTTAACATTGTGACAATGAGTGAAAAGTATTAAAGGTTTATAACATTCATCAAATGTGGAAAGTTGTGATGTCATGAATAAGACAAAGATCGACTAGGACCAATTTATGAAGTATTTTGATAAAAACTACACTAACTCTTGAATATTTGTTTGTCAAGAAATGTTTATTGACAAAAGAATCTTATATGTCAAGGAGTCAGTGGGAGTCTTATTGGTCTGGAAAGGTTTCAAGAACAAATCAAATAAACCTTATCGATCATCACTAGCACACGAGTTGAGGTTTGCAACTTATCGTGTTGACATTATTTTATTTCTGTGTTATTCCAATTGAGTTAATTATGCATGTGAGTTCTTTGAGTTCTCATTTTGAACGCATAAAAGGCAAGGCACCTTAATCAATGAAAGGTACATTGATAGGAAAAGGTGAGCTGCTTAACTACTTGGAAGACATGGTGGGCAGCTGTACTACCATAAGGCAAGAAATCAAGATTAAGAAATTTCGGTCCATATGAGTTTGAATTTGTCGTAAACTTTGGTTTTAACAAATTCACATGGATAGGAACACATACACCTTTTAAATCTAAGTGTCATAAGATTTCCTCCTTCATGAAAATGATTGTGAGGAAATGCTTTCACTAAGAAAGATTTTAAGAAGATAGTGATTGTAAAATTGCATTCTCGAATTCTATTATGGTTACGGTATCCCTTTCCATAATTTGAATTGTGAGGTTTGGCAATTAGTCTTAATTGTTAAGACACACATATGAACTATCTAAGGCAAAGGTGTATAAGTTCAAGAAGCCTTGATAAAAGATTATCAAAGCACTAAGTATTAGAAACATGGACTTAAGAAATTCAATAGGTATTGTCTTTCTGAAAGTTAAGATGTTTATGAATACATGTCGAAGCTAGTGGGAGCATAAGTGTTATGTTTTATAGTAATCATCATGATAGTGGGAGCATAAAAGTTATGATTGTATGATTATTATGGAAAGTTTTGCAAGTTGGCAATATGAATTATAGAAAAACAAGAGTTATACCTTGCAAAGTCGTAAGGGTTGTAAAGTTGTTTTGCTATAATTAAGGGAGAGAATATTATGCTTCATTTCAAATCTAAAGGATTAGGTTGTGAAACGTTAATAGATTTAGTCAAAGGTACATAGTGTGTTCTTAAAATTTCGATTATGACTACGGCATTCCTCTTCATAATTCGAATTTTGAGAACATAGCAAATAAAACATTGTGCATCGTGTCCCATACGCTTCGGGTATAGGATCGATTGCAAATGCTTTAATGTTTGACCATTCTTAAATTTTCCAAATGTCTAGCGCATTTAGAGGGAAAAGGGACTAGAATCCGTTTTGACTAAAATAATCAAACCACTATCAAAGAACAATCCAAAGTTCGACGAGGATTGGTTGCTTGTGAGTAGTTGGAAGCATGGTATTGGATGGACCATATTGACATTATTATGAATAGATAAGATTCTATTAAGAATAAGTTGTCATAAGGAAAATATGGAAGCGTGTTCATATTAGGAAGTAAATATTGAAAATCTATGTCTAGATTAGAAACCTTTATGCAAAAGGATGTTCAAAGGAATGTACTTTAAGTGAGAGACATCGTATCTAAGGAATTGTCTTGTAACAATCTCCGATAGAGGACTTTGTAATATCATTGGCAATAGTATTTGTGACTTTGGTGCAGTGACATTACGTAAGAATAATTGCATAGGATGTTAGAATCTAGCATACTCTATAAGTAGCGAGAATTTGATATTCTCACACTTATGAAAAAGGATTTGGAGTTGTGAAATGAGAATGATTGGAAATGTATTCAATTTGGTCTATTTCACAAAGTAAGAACCATAGGTAAACATTGTGTGCATGCTAGGAGCATGGGACAAGTGTAATAATTCAAGTAAGAAGTTGATTACCCGAAATGACAAATAATGAGTAATCGGTATGGTGATAAATAAAAGGATTTTCATTTATACTCAAAGGTTTGAGGTCATATGGGATTAGTATTATTCTTGTGTTTCACCTTGCATGTTTTGACTTTCAGAATAATTGAGTTTATTAAGAATAATCGAATTATTCAAACGGGCCACAGTCGTTCATATGTTGGAAGTAGATATGAATGAAGACTGTCGTGAATTGGTGTGTGGATTGTCTAGAAGAGTATTAGACATAAGCAAATGTTTGTTGCAACGTTCATGAGTGCCTATGAATATGATTTGAGTATTGGATTAAACCCACGCTCACTTGGATCACTCCATGAATTGTATTACGAGTGATTGGTGAGACGATAATATCTTATATTCTTGAAACTGAGATGTGTGAGTTGTATCTTGCGAATCGGTTGCACATTGATAATATGTAAATGCACTAGTAACTTGGTGTTATAAAACATATTGTTGTGTGTGATTTGGTGAGTGAGTGCAAGCAAGCATTGTATCAAAGTTTATCTGTTCCTTTTATTCAAAGAATAAAAGCGATATCTTTTGGGCCCCTCGATGGTTTAATGATGACAAACGTAAATGCTCGGCCGGGCTAGGGCTAATTTGATTTGTTCAATTAGTCTGTCGTCATAAATTGGAAATCGAGAAGTAGTACAAAGAGAATGATTTGAAATCATATCTCATACGATATCTAGAATGGAGCAATATATGATCCCTTATCTAAGGACACGCGTATCTGAGAGGATCAGAGTTGACAGCAGCTTTGGAAAGCTACGATTGCAGATCAGGATCTGAAGTCATACGTATAATAGTTATTAGACTTATCCAAGTGGGAGACTGTTGGATTAGTGTCTAAGTCCATAACTATTTTGGTATGTACTTGACCCGATGGTGCATGGTCCTTTTGGGTTGCCTTCACCAAAGCAACTTGATTGGAGAAATAAATAAAGAGAGAAAGGTTATTATGATTTATTAATATGTTATAAGAATAATATATTAAAGGAGAAATCATATTTGTTTAATTAATATTGATCAATAATTAATTAGGAATTAATTTTGTGATCAAGTGTAATTAATTAAACTAGAGGGACTGATTTGTAATTATGTGATAGTTACAAAATAAGGTAAGGATTATCTTATTATTAGGGTGAACGAATTTAAGGTGATAAGGCCTTAGAATCCGACTATGATAAGGATTTAAGGATTATCTTATGGGTTGCTTTGTGGATAAGCAACTAGATAAGGATAATGACTGAAACCCTATCTCTACACCTATATAAAGACCCTAAGGCCTTAGAATTCGTGTACTTGTTCCCAAGAAGTCCTAAGGATGAATTCTAACCTCTCTCCTCTCTCTTTATACCTTCTCCATTTGCTCTTGGTGTTTGCACTACTAGAAAAAAGGCCTTTTACGACGCGCAAAATACGACGCTCATTGATCTATGTTACGCAAAGGAGAGTGACATTAGAAAAATGTCATCTCTTCAAAAAATTTAAGGATAGAAGACACGCATTATTACGCGCCCTTAAATCAGTGTCTAAAAAAAACACGGAGGGCACCTATAATAAAATGCGCGTCGTCTAAGGATGTCGCTTTATAATTTTTAATGGAACGCGCGTTCCATCCTCTAACAGTAGGGGGAAATGAAATTCTAAAAAAATTAAAAATCCCACCTTCCTTTTTTTCTCCTTTCCCTCTTGCCCAAATTATGGATGCTCCTTCCTTCCCCCTCCCGACATTGACTGCTGCTTACTTCTTCCCTCACTTCTACCTACTGGAACCACCATATCTCCCACTCGATGTTGAAATTGTTAGAAAAAGCCCTAATTATACTCTCAAGTCTAAATACAGAAAAAATAGAAAATGGTGAAGAAGTAGTAGTAGAGGAAGTGGAGGATGAACAGTCGAAAATGGAAGGAATGGCATCAATAGCGTTGTTACTAGATGGGTCAATCTCGGGTCATTTTGTTCAGCTTCCCGAGTCCATTTATTACCAGATGGGTCAATCTCGTCTTTTCGTCTCGACTTCATATCTCTCTGTAAAGCAACCGACGACTTCATATCAGAAGTGGAGGTGGCAGCCTAAACACTGTAATTTGCCAAAGTAAGCATACTTTGTTCTTCCACTTTTTAAAATCGAATTAATTGTTGAATTCTTGATGATTTTAATTATGTGTTTTGGGGGAAATGAAATGAAGGTTTATAGGGAAATTGTTGGTGGAGAAATCGAAGAACAAGAGGCTTATGTTCGTTGGAGATTTGTTGAATAGAAATCAATGGTGTGCATGGTTCAATCCATAGTCACAGGATTCGCCAAAGTAGTCACGATCCATGTTCCAAACGGATCGATCCCAAACGGGGGACGATTGCGTACCGATCGCCGACAGAAACGCCCTCCGGTACGTCATGCTTGCGATCCCACCAATTCTTTAAATCGATACCTGAAACGTGAAATTGGCAAATTGGATTGCACAGAAACGCGATTGGGATCGGGAATTTTGGTTTTGGAACGCCGATTTGTGAAATTGGCGGGAAATTGTTTTTATCCGGAGAAAAGTCACCGACGCTTGATTTCTTCCTTAAGCCCTCGATTCCATGTTAGGTGTTTGGACTTCCAGATCTGATTCTTCTTTATCACTTTTAATAATATATAATAGCTATAACACTTATCCAATATCATCACTTCACCATGATTTCACTTTTGTTCTACACCTTTCAGGAAGAGTTGTTGATGGAAGAGAGATGATGGTTTAATTTGCCAAATATGGGCCTAATGCTGAAAAAATGTGAGTCACATTCACATATAATCTAATATATTTCTAAATTCCAAGAATCAGATATGAAAAAGTATATGGTTGTTTGACTAATGTGGTTGTTTTTATTCTTGTTTTAGTCACAAGGGAAGGATACTTGAACCAGTAGAAAAGCTGAAGGGTGGATTAAGGAGCCGAAGTCCTAGACCAAGGTATGATGAGAATGTAGTTTTGACCATTCTACCCTTGTATTGGAGTTGATGTTTACCCAATGTAGTTCCAGGTATAGAGATGAATACAAGGGCTACAGGAGGATAAGTCGCAGCAGTAGCAGGGACAGGTATTATGGAAGGGACAAAGATCGTTACAGAAGTAGGACCCTCATGCAGTAGGAGTAGGAGCCCTGATTATCATAGAAGAAACAGGAGGGGTAGATATGATGATGATTATGATGATGAGAGAAGCCCAAGTAGGTCTCCTATAAGGTAAAAAGACGTAAATGCCCTTATCATTAAAAATAGCATCCTAAAAAGTTTTGTTTGTCTATTTAAAGTTGATGTTTCATTAGAAACCTGATGGACTATTCACTATTCTATATGTGTTTGTTACTTACATAGAAGTACTAGTGTTGAAAAGACTAGAATGCCCTTATCATGTGATGTGTCAATAAACTGATGGATTACACAGAAGCAGGTCTCCTCCACGTAGGAGTAGGTCACCTTCTAGAAGCAGAAGCCCTGAAGGAGGAGGAAATGAGAAAGCATCAACATCATCACCCTATTCCCATGGTAGAGCTGATTCCAGAAGCCCTTTGCAGCGTTCTGATTCCAATGTAAGTTTTTTTTACCTGTGGAATCATTGATTCCGAGTGTTGATATTTTTTTATTGATAAATTTTTATCTTATCTTTTATATATTATTAACCCTTGGTTGTGGTATAATATGTGGGGTTTGCCTGGACCAATGGGGTTGATGAGTACTAGTCATTTGGAACAAGAAGCTGCAGTACTTGCTTTGTCAACTTTGATGATCATAGCTCCTGCAGAAGTTTATGCAGAATTTGAAAAGGTAATTTTTTTATTTATTTATGAACTTTCAAAGCAACTTTTATTGTTTTACATCACTTGAATTTTAGTGCATTAGGTCGTATAATATGTTGAAATGTTGAACGTTTTATGATGAGATTGTTTCAAATAAGGGAAGTAGAATAAAGGATAAATTAATTCATAATGTCTATGAAACCCCGTATACCCTTCTCTTGAACGGTGAAATAAATTATAGAGGCGAGATAGAACAAAGGAGTATGGGGTGGCTGAATTATTCCATTTGGATCCTCATTACACAATAAGTTTATGTTTGAACCATATAAAAGTGTGTCTAGCTTTGTATGATCCAGTTGCAGCAAAAGATAAATTATTCAATTTTTTCAGCATCTGTTGTGTATGGTGACAGTTTTGTTTAGGTTGCACCCACTAAGAATGTATCAGCTTTTTTAGCATCTGTTGGAAAGTGAATGTTCAAAAGGAAAAAACGATATAAGTGCACATTTGTTACTATGCTAATATGAATTGAGGATTAAGCTATTAGTTTCTAAATCACAAACAGTGTTTGCTGCCTTTCTTAATCTGTTTGAAAATCAAGCCTGTGTTTATATTTGATTTGATTGTTTATGTGAGTTTTTGGTCGATTTTGGTTTAATGTTGTGATTAAAGTAGGGTTTGTTAGAATATAATGTTGCAGAAATTATCCTTATGGGTCTTGACACATCAAGTTTGTTAATTATTTAGAAAAATATTATAAATTATCTTTGATTTCATGAGAATATAAATGCTTGTTTGTCATATTCAATTCACATTCGGTAAAATGTTGTGTCCACATGATACTAAGAAATACAATTCTGTAATTGACTTGGGCATAAACATGTTATTTTGATCAAGAGAAAAAGAAAAATAGCCTAGATAATTAGCAACTTATAAGTAGGTTGGTTGGTGTTATGTGAAAGTGAAAGGGGTAAGTGAAATTTGAGAGTGATTTGTGTTTTTTTAGTCACATTGCATCGGACTCAATTCCAGCTTGGAAATGGTGGTTTGTTTGGTGCTAGTTATATTCAGGTAAAAGATTTCCCATCTCTTATATTAATGTTTGGTTTTAATGTTTGGCTTATTACATTACTTTTGTCTCCTTTGTTGTATTGATGAGGCTTGAGCATGCTGGGCTGTTAATGTTCCTATTTGTTTTCATTTATGCAGGTAACAATCTTGTTGAAAGGACTTATGAATCAGATATTAATGGTAACAAGTTTAACACTCGAGTCCATACGATTAGATGTTAATGGTAACAAGTTTAACACATGTGTCTTTGTTATACATACAAATTGAATGCAATGGATTGTATTTTTTGTATATGGTATTTTATTTTATATTATGCAATGGATTGTATTTTTTGTATATGGTATTTTATTTCTATTATGAGAGATTAAAGGCAAATTTAATTTATAAATTAATAAATATATAAATATATATATTTTTTAAAAAAAATTAAAATTACGATACGCAAAAATGTGTGTCGTCTTCGTTTATGACATGGCCTTTCTTGACTGGTGCTTCCTTGATACGCATTGCGTGTCATAAACACACGCGTCGTAAGGTTACGACACGCAAATGCATGTCGTCTTCCTTTATCACAGGGCCTTTCTTGATACGCATTGCGTGTCATAACAACGCGTCGTAAATGCGCGTCGTCTATAGACGACACGCAAAAGCGCGTCATCTCTCTTTATGACAGGGCCTTCCTTGACGCGCATTTGCGCGCCGTCTGAGCGTTTTACGACGCGCGATGAGCGTCGTAAAAGGCCTTTTTTCTAGTAGTGTTGTAAGCCATTAGAGGAGTGACACTTGTGACTCTAAGCATTCCAAAGTGAAATCAAGGAGATTTGGGATTGTTATTGCTACATAACAATCAAGGTAACATTATAAACTCATTCTTATGTTAATATGATTATTTGTAAGCTAGTATTAGGGTTTATAGTCTTGGATTCAAAGCATGTACAATAGAGAAACCTAGATCCAAGCATTAGGGTTTGTATGAGCACATAGGATGTCTTATGACTAAAACCCATCAGGAAGCTCACAAGACGCGATACTCCATCCATCCCGGCTCGGACAAGATGTATTTGGATATTAAACAACACTATTGGTGGCCTAACATGAAGGCAGAAATCGCCACCTATGTTAGTAAGTGCCTTACTTGTGCCAAGGTGAAGGTGGAGTACCAGAAGCCCTCAGGGTTATTGCAGCAACCGGTAATCCCTGAGTTGAAATGGGAAGGGATTTCTATGGATTTCGTGACCAAGCTACCCAAGACGTCGGATGGACTAGACACCATATGGGTAATAGTCGACCGACTGACGAAATCTGCCCATTTCCTGCCAATAAAAGAATCCTACAAGATGGAGAGATTGACATGCTTATACATTCGAGAAATCGTGAGACTCCACGGAGTACCAGTGTCTATTATCTTGGATAGAGACAGTAGGTTCACTTCACGTTTTTGGCAATCACTCCAGAAAGCACTCGGAACCCACCTCGACATGAGCACCGCTTATCATCCACAAACGGATGGTCAAAGTGAACGAACCATTCAAACGCTCGAAGACATGCTTCGTGCATGTGTGATAGACTTTGGGAAGTCTTGGGATACCCATTTACCTTTGGTCGAATTCTCGTATAACAACAGTTACCATTCGAGCATCAAGGTCGCTCCTTTCGAAGCACTATACGGGCGTAAGTGTAGATCACCGTTATGTTGGGCTGAGGTGGGCGATACCTAACTAGCAAAAACACTCGCATCGGACAAGGCTCTAACGGGACCGGAGATCATTCGTGAAACCACGGAAAAGATCATTCAAATCAGAGCTCGATTACAAGCATCGCGCAACCGACAAAAGAGCTACGCCGATAAATGGCGAAAGCCCTTAGAATTTCAGGTCGGGGATCGAGTACTGTTAAAAGTCTCACCCTGGAAAGGAGTTATTCGTTTTGGGAAGCGGGGAAAACTGAACCCACGGTACATTGGACCTTTCGAAGTCGTCGCCCGAATAGGTCCAGTGGCATACAAACTGCAACTACCCGCAGAGCTAAACAGTGTACACCCCGTGTTCCATGTTTCTAATCTAAAGAAGTGCCTATCGGATGAAACACTCATCATTCCCCTTGACGAAATCGAAATCAACGAGAATCTCCGGTTCGTTGAAGAACCGATTGAAATCATGGATAGGGAGGTGAAGCGTACTAAGCAAAGTTGCATCCCGATTGTGAAAGTACGGTGGAACGCAAAGCGTGGGCCAGAATTCACGTG